CCTCCCCCCCCCCCCCCCGGTCGACGGACTACTTGAACTCAGCCCTTTTGAACCGCCTCTGCGCTCTCTCGCGGGTCCCTCTCCTCTCCAAGGCTTAGTCCTACATTCACCCGTTCTCTAATCGTCTGTGCTCTAGCCATCGCGGCAGGACCATTGAGGAAAAATCAAGTAGTCCGTAACCCCCCCCCCCCCCCCACGACTGGGTGTGGTCACTAGGACAGAAAGCGACTTTTTCGCGTTTCGCAGCGCGAAACATTTTTCGCTGCAGGAACCTCAGGTCCACCGCTGATCATGAGTGGACCTGGAGTTCCTGCAGCGAAAAATGTTTCGCGCGCGAAACGCGAAAGTCGCACTCTGTCTAGTGAACCACAACTCTAGCGACTCGACCGCGAAGTCTACTACACCTTACATGTCCTGGTTACGAAATACCCTTCCTTCCCTGTTGAATTTGTAAGCAATGGGCTTTCTTGCGCATGGGGTGGTTCATAATGCTGGATATGAGAGCACTTCCCCTCTTCCTTAATTGGGAGGAAACGATCTGGATAGATGCGGGTTTGAAACCAACTATCTTGGTAGATCTCAGGATCCAAGATTTTACTATGAGGCACACTGAAGAAAACTTTGGCCGCCGTCAGCCTTTACGACCCTTCATCTAGTAGTTCGAGTGTGGAGTTCGATCGCATGGTCGATTTATCTATACACGAACGAGCAAAGGAAGCGCTAGGCAGTCGCAAAGTATGACAGCGACCTAACAAATTCGACTGGGGCACCAAAATGTTTAGGGTGATGTAGATCTACTGTAACTGGTAATTTTGGTGCTGTCTTAGTTTGGGGGGGGGGGCACGCGGCGGCGCGGCGCTCTGTTCGTCTGCTCCTCCAAGGCTTAGTCCAAGGGGCAGTTACTATTTCGTCGCCACGTGGCAGTTTCGAAATACGCGCCATCGGCGGACTAAGCCTTGGAGGAGCAGACGAACAGAGCGCCGCGCCGCCGCGTGGTCCCCCCCCAACCACTTAGCACCTAAAAGAGTTCTTGTTGAGCTGTCAACTTGCGCTTTTATAAACATCGAGACTTCGCCACCATACGGAAACAGGTAAAAAGAAAACGCACAGTTGAATTATAAAGCTGATATCTAGGCCCCATTATGAACACAAACAGATAAGGTTACGGTAGTAGCAAGTGATGTAGTATCACCGAGGGTGATTTATAAGCTTCAAATCTTCAGGCACACCGGCAAATTCGGAACCACTTAACGCGGACTGAAACTGGTCTTAACGAATGTGATGTTGATGAGTAACACAAATGTCTGGAAGTGAAAACGGAAGAAAAAATC